GGATCGTCCTATTCTGTTCTCCTGTTGTCACTTTGGTTCTTTTCATTAACACATTTACCAATTTTGCATTTTATAGTTCTATTAATAGCTAACTTTAACTCTTTATTCTCCCCTTCCCTTCTTCTCCCCTTCCCTTACTGACGAGCACAAGGGGGAGAATATTCTTTCGTTTACTCTCCGTCTAAGGGCACGTGCGAAACGGAGAGTAAGCTACACCTTGACACCCCCCCCTTCAAAAAGTTTTGTTTTGTTTTATTTGTTGTATATAACTATTTGTTCTTTTCCTTCATAGAGGCCATAGACCCTACAAGAATAGACGAGGTGGGAGAGAGGATTCTCCTCCTCATCAAGTTCTTACGAGCGACAGTTTCTGTTAAGGAGACACTTTCACGACTGGGAACAAGATATATCCTCACCGAGCGAATGTGTTCACAGCAAGCAAGTAGCGGAGGCCTGTCGTCACTCCGACACGAAGACTGGCTGGAGGAAGACAAGGAGTCCGCAAGATAGGAGAATCAATTAATTAATTAATGGAAAACGAATTACAACTCTTTATGACAGTTATAAGAAAGACAGAAGAATGCTGGCAACGATGGAACAAGTTATTGAGGAATGCGGACCTATGGAAGAAGAGGAGCCTTCTCCACAAATGAAACACCTTAAACAACAGCAAGCAGAGGAGGTGAATTCACTGAATGCAAGAATTTCAGTGTTGGAGCGACAGATAGCCGAGAAGGAACAGGCATCGCACCCGAACGAAATCGACGAGAAACTTCTTGACAGTGACACAGAAATTTCGGACGAAGACTACCTGCTAAGGCTGATCAAGGAGAATCAAGACGGCGAAACTGCAGCCCAGATTGTTTGCGAACCAAGTTCCAGCTCCAACGGGTTTTTGAATGAATACGAGGAGCCCAGAGCCGATCAAGTCAAATTTTTCAAAGAGTAAGGAGCAAGGAAGCAAGTAATCGAATCGATAGAGAACGGCCTTGAAACCTTTCCGTATCGCCGTTTCACACAATATCGGAAGGTGTCGAGCCGTTTCTTAATTGTACCCTTTGCGGTGCACGAGCAGAACATTATTCGGACTCGTGTCCTACCGTTCGGAACTCAAGAGACCGCGAACAAGTCACTTTCGCGCTCAAGCTCTGCAGACTCTGTTTGGAAAACTGCGAAGAGAGCAGATGCACCAGAGGGAGACGGGCGTGCTGGTATTGCACCAAAGTCGAAGGAACCGCTTTCGAAGATCTGATACCTCGCGACGACGGTCATCACAGAGCATTGTGTCCCGTGCCTGACGCCAAGTGGAGGATGGAAGCAAGGCTGGAAGCAGCGATCCGTGAATTGCAGGACTGTAGAGCCACCAACGCAGGTCGTGGGGAATGTCGCGGCTTTGATCTCGCCATCCGCGACTACGACGTATGATCTACAATAAATCGATGCAGCCGGCCCATAAAAGGCCGCTGGACCGACGATGCAGCCTTCCATTTCGATATTTGTAGATTTATATTGTTTCCTATCATTCAGAAGTTTCTTGTTTAATTACCCAAGTTTGAGGTCGATAAAGTTTCTGTCACTGTTGCTCTCACAACTCAACATACCAGTCCCGCGTATCAAGACCTCAGTACATGCAGCTTTCCCCGAATCTGCTGTCGAGGTAGGTACATTCCCATGCGTAAGGGCATACATCGCAAAGGAGACAGTGTACATTGCTCTGGAAGAAAAGACTGATTAGTACTTGTCAATTTTGCATTATCATTATTCGAGTTAAAGAGGACTACCGATATTTTACACAAACATACTCCTAGCCAAGACATGGTGAAATGTTCCTGGGGTTTAGATGTTTCCACGAGCCATCTGTTTTCTCCTATAAGACCGGTCTTCTCTGTGCGATGCGTAACAGGAAGTGGATTTACGATGGCATTAAGTGGACTCCGATTTTCGGTGCAAGCTTCTTACACGTGGTCTGCGATCCTGGAAATAGACTGTCTGCTAAGAAATTCATATGCTTGTAAGTGTCAGGGCTTACCATAATTTCAGTCGAATCCGACTTTTCTTCGAATGCTCAGATCAGTGATCCCATCAGGCAGTCAAGGCGACAGTTTGCGTTCCTGTAGAGGACACCGTCTTTGATCATTCGGTGCGATCGTTTGCTGATCATGATTGTATCCATGACTGTTCCTTTATTCACGGAGGAGGCCCATGACTCAGTTTTGCCTAGACCTTTTACATCAATATGCTGGATGAGTGAATTAAAAACTTTTAGATCTCGCAAACAAAACTAAGTAGTCCTCTGTGAGATAGTCGGCCACAGCACTTTGTCCCTTGGCTCTCAAGAAGGTTAGGACTTTGGCAAAGCGATGCTCAGATGCCTCGAGTTGTTCCTCCTTCAGCAGATTTCCAACAGCCTTGTACTGAATGTCACTGTCTGAACGCTCACTTTCTTATCCGCCGTCGTCTTGCCGAGCCGTCCTCGTTGCCACGCGGGTCTAGCGAATCTGAGATAATCCTGTGCAATAGACAATAG